GAGTTTATCAGTACTGCATGTGTCGCCCTTCACAGGCGGGATGTTGCCAGTTATACTATTCATCTTTATTACTTTATTCTACGTTTCTTGGATTAATTCTTATAGGTAAAGTGTATTTAATATATATACGTAAATATATATGTATGTGTGATATTATGGGTCATGTTTTCTTTGTCATATATGTAATTTAAGAAACATTTGGAATTAATAGTATTTGGCAACTCGTCACAGCAGCACCAGTCCTCCGTTCGAAACCCTTGACGTAAACAAATGGCCTAAACACTCGTTTTTTCTCTACAGTTCCTCTTTTTGTGCTTATAGAAGGATTTTATAATATTCTGCAACCTTATAAAACCCGGATTAGTGATCTTAATTTATGGATTGAATAAGAAAAAGATTAAAAAAATACATGTCATGGTGACGTTGGTTGGCCCAGGTGCTACAGTGGTACCAACCCCCCGGAGGCGATTCTCACCCCCCCAGACAATGCATACAATTTAACCTTGCTATACCGTACACCACATAATACCCCTCAACTTCACGCTTTATCCTATATATGACGATTCCCTCAACAGATTAACCATACATCCGGTGATATTATGACCCATGGAGATTATTTTTACTAGAATTTGAGATATGTAGAATCTATATGTGTTAACCTATATCATGACTAAGGTTGCCCGTCTTGAGGGATGTGGTAATACTGGATGAACCTCGCCGCCATAGTTGTCAACAAACTCACCACCAGATCATCGTTATTCATCACTCACCATCATCACTATCACTCACCATCATCACAAATTACTCTTACTGTCACCATCTTCGTTTATCACTTTCACCATAATCACTATCATCCCTGAATTCCTGTTTACTCAATAGACACGATAGTGAAGCTAATCAGGGGATTGTGATGGTGAGGAGATATAAATGAAGGTGGTGAGGAAATGGTGGTGGTGAGGAAGATAAATGAAGGTGGTGAGGAAGGATAGTGAAGATGGTGAGGAAGGATAGTGAAGGTGGTGAGGATGAGGTGAAGGTGGTGAGGAAGGATAGTGAAGATGGTGAGGAAGGATAGTGAAGATGGTGAGGAAGGATGAGTGAAGGTGGTGAGGAGGATGGTGAAGATGGTGGGAAGGAGATGAATGAAGATGGTGAGGAAGGATAGTAAAGGTGGTGAGGAGATATAGTGAAGGTGGTGAGGAAGATATAGTGAAGGTGGTGAGGAAGGATAGTGAAGATGGTGATAATGGTGGTCAAATGTGAGTTACCGCGGCGAATAATCAATGCGATCTTGCCAGATGGTGACCAACCGGTTTCTCTTTCTCTCTATCTATCTTATCTCTCTCTTTATCTATCTATCTATTTCCTCACTCGCTTTATCTATCCTGCTCCTAACTGGTGACCGTGACCTTTGACCTGTTGACCTAACCTAATCTAACCATATCTATCTCAACTTTTGTGTCTTAATAGCAGTCTCATGTCAGTCTTCTCAGTCTATCAAGGTGACGGTCATACACACATCACAACACACATCACAACACACACACACACACAACACACACACACACACATCACAACACACACACACACACATTCATACACACACACACACATTCATACACACATACAGTCATACACACTTATACATTTTGTTGAGACAGGTGTGTACAGGGAGGCAAGTGTGTGAGAGGCTGTCTTTCTGAATACTCTATGTGTGTTTGTGTGTAAGTATGTAGATGAATTAGAATACTGTATATAAAACACTAGGTATTTTGCTATTATTATTATTATTATTATTATTACAAGTAGTAGTAGTAGTAGTAGTAATTATTGTATCTCTATCATTATATAATTAAGAATTTCGTAATAACTACAGTATTTATATCCCGGTAATTAAAAAAAAAACAAGATATGAACTCCGGCCAGATGATCCCGTAGACTTGTTCATCTCACAGCTCATCAGACTGATTAATGGCAACCCTCCTCCTCCATGTTTCACACCGCTGCTCTCTCGATATCCTGGTTACTCGCCATTTACACGTGTTGACAGTGTCTCCTCCTCATCATACAGGCTGTTCCCGGAGGCCCAACACATTACAGGCGCTCCGCTGGTCATGAATGGTTCCACGATTCTGTTTACAATTTTGTTTGAAAGGGTGGAACAAGAGGGAAGCGTGACGTCATCATTGGCGCAGTTTTCATTGGTGAAGAAATTCTTACGTTAATTGATTATTAATTTGATATTTCTATTACGTAAATTTCGTTGTGATAGATAATGAATAAATTTGTATAAACCTGAGATATAGATGAAGTATATATTGAATATTTTTTTAAAGCTCAATTTGTTTACATCTGAGCAAGGCGCTTTAATACGAACAGCCTTGTATCTGAAGACCATGACGTCATTACTTGAGGGGCTACGAACTCAAATTACAATCGGAAATCACCTTATTTTAATATGTAAATATATAATTTAAGAGCACACACACACACACACACACACACACACACACTCACACACACACACGCAATAACGTGTTTAAGCTAGTTATGGGTCCATATAAATAAATATAGAAAACGGGAGCCGAAGGACGCCATACGGGAGAGATATGGTGTGAGGTAAACTATGGTGCTTGGTGCAGTTTCTTGTGGACAAACACTCAAACATACACACACCCGAGCGCCAAGCACGACTTCAGGCTGTTTTCTACTGATTACTCCACACACACACGCACACACCATAATGTCACCATTACGTCACCAAAATACCACCATAACACTATAAAATTACCATAACACCATAGCTCCACCATAACATCACCATAGCACCATAAAACCACCATAGCGCCACCATAACAGCACCTGCTTATAATTTCCCCATAACACCCCTATAACATCACCATAACACCACCATAACACCACATCACCATAACACCGACAGATACTGAGTGACTCAAGGCGATCTTCTCGCCACCCGAAACCATGTTGCTAGGGCGGTCACCTGCTGTACTCTGTAACCATAATAATAATAATAATAATAATAATAATAATAATAATAATAATAATAATAATAAACAACAACAACAATAATAATAATAATAATAATAATAATAATAATAATAATAATAATAATAATAGTAATAATAATAATAACAAAACAACAACAATAATAATAATAATAATAATAATAATAATAATAATAATAATAATAATAATATTGTTTTTTTTTTTTAGAATATATATATAATATTTAGAAATAATAATAATAATAATAATAATAATAATAATAATAATAATAATAATAATAATAATAATAATAATAATAATAATAAAGGTTTGACAAAATATTTTCACACATAAACCAACTTATTTACAAGTTGTCTCGCCCAAAAGTTTCTCCTTTAATTATTTTCTTTAATCTTACTTATTTTCTTAACTTTACTTATTTTTTTATCTTACTTATTTTCTTTAACCTTACTTATTTTCTTTAACCTTACTTATTTTCTTAACTTCTTATTTTTTATCTTACTTATTTTCTTTAACCTTACTTATTTTCCTTGCTTTACTTATTTTATTTGACCTTGTGATTGGTGATTGGAGAGTGATGGTGATTTATATCGTGGTGACATCATAGCTATGTTTGGTGACTGATTATAATTAAAAGTTGGTGATTTGGGGACTTTGTTGGTGATTGGTGGTGATTGGAGATTAGTGGTGACGCAAATCAAGAATGGTGGTAAATGAAGGTGATGGTGATAGGGAATGATTGTGTGGAGTGGGATGGTGGCGTGGAGTGGGATGGTGGCGTGGAGTGGGATGGTGGCGTGGAGTGGGACGGTGGCGTGGAGTGGGATGGTGGCGTGGAGTGGGATGGTGGCGTGGAGTGGGACGGTGGCGTGGAGTGGGATGGTGGCGTGGAGTGGGATGGTGGCGTGGAGTGGGACGGTGGCGTGGAGTGGGATGGTGGCGTGGAGTGGGACGGTGGCGTGGGTGGGACGGTGGCGTGGAGTGGGGGGACGGTGGCGTGGAGTGGGATGGTGGCGTGGAGTGGGATGGTGGCGTGGAGTGGGATGGTGGCGTGGAGTGGGATGATGGCGTGGAGTGGGACGGTGGCGTGGAGTGGGATGGTGGCGTGGGTGGGATGGTGGCGTGGGGTTGGACGGTGGCGTGGGTGGGATGGTGGCGTGGGGTGGGATGGTGGCGTGGAGTGGGACGGTGGCGTGGAGTGGGACGGTGGCGTGGGTGGATGGGAAGCTTGGTGATTGGTGGGAGACGTGGAGTGGGATGTGGAGTGGAATGGGGTGGTGGTGGTGTGAAGTGGGGTGGTGGTGTGGTGTGGCGTGGTGGTGTGGGTGGTGGTGTGGGCTGGTGTGGTGTGGTGTGGTGTGGCGGTGTGGTGTGGCGTGGTGTGGCGTGGTGGTGTGATGTGGCGTGGTGGTGTGGGGTGTGGTGGTGTGGTTTAGCGTGGTGGTGTGATGTGGCGTGGTGGTGTGGGGTGGTGTGGGGTGGGGTGGTGTGGGGTGGTGTGGCGTGGTGGTGTGGGGTGTGGGGTGGTGTGGGGTGGGTTGGTGTGGTGTGGGGTGGCGTGGTGGTGTGGGGTGGTGTGGCGTGGTGTGGCGTGGTGGTTTGGGGTGGGGGTGGTGTGGTGTGGGGTGGTGTGGTGGTGTTGGGGTGGTGTGGTGTGGTGTGGTGTGGCGGTGTGGTGTGGCGTGGTGGCGTGGTGTGGCGTGGTGGTGTGATGTGGCGTGGTGGTGTGGCGTGGTGGTGTGGGGGTGTGGTGGTGTGGTTTGGGGTGGGGTGGTGTGGTGTGGTGTAGTGTGGGGTGGGGTGGGGTGGTGTGGGGTGGTGTGGTGTGGTGGTGGTATATGGCGGTAGTGGTGTTGTGTGGGAGTCAACACCACAATAGTGAGTTGGTGTAGCAGTGCTGTGACGTCAACACCTGGTGTGGTGGTGTGGGGATCTATTAACTACCATCGTGGTGTGGTAGTAATGCGGTGTGGCGTTGACATCGTGGTGTGGTAGGATTGTGGCGGCGCTAACATAGTGGTGTGGCGCTGACGTCGTGGCGGTGGTTGGTTGGGAAAGTGGTGAAGGTGTGTGTCTGTGTGTGTGCTTCCTGACACCCACAGTGAAGTAGGGTGGTGATACGTAATATACCCACACCTTGTCCTCCTCCTACTAGCACCAGGCTATTAAAACTAAACTTTTCCAAGTGGGCGGACTCCCTTTACCAGCGTACCTTGCTTCTGCCGGAATATCTCCTCCCCCTTGAGGTTTGGGGTTGAGTCAGAGGTCTTAGGTGTTCACCCGTGGACTTGCCAGGACAATTTGCGTGTGCGTGTGCGTGTGCGTGTGGGGAGCTAGCGGGCGTCGCTGACTAGCCGGCCCCGCGTTAAAGAGTAGCACGTCGGAATCTGTGTAAGCCTCGTTGCTCTGTGCTCAGGCCGGCAGGAGACCACTGCAAGCCACAGTTTTCGTCCTGTGTTCTCGCCTGTCACGCCCTTACCAGTGATATTTAGCCTCGAAAATTCTAGCAGGGGCAATATACTGTGATTATCGCGTGTTAGAAATGTTTAAAAGTGAAGTGTGGGGGAGAAAACAAAGTGAAAATCAACCGATCTTCGCTGCCCGATGGCGGTCTGGTCACCAGTAGGTCTGCCACCACCCACACTTAGCACACCTATAACAGTGGAGTTTTAGCCGGTTTTAAAGCTTGGTACTCAAGTGCTCACATGGATACTACGCTGTGATGTATAAAAGCAAGCCACCGTTGTCGTCAAAACCTCCAAACACCTTCTACCATGTCAGGTAAGACACGAAACACTGCGAGAGACGGTCCCTCACCACCCACGGATCCGGACAAGTACACGGACGAGAACCAATTTTTTGTTACTTTTTTGTTTTACTCATTGAGAGATGTTTCACTCCAAACTCAGTTTCCAGTGAATGAATGTATCACCGGAAATTGTTTATTTGTGTTTTGTGATGTTTTTTTTTGTTTAAGACGTGATTTAGTGTTAAGAGGCATGTGTGTTATATTTGGGGAGGCGGTGTGTTGCTTGGGCCTGGTGTATTCGGGCTCATTCACCGTGGTCGTGTGACAGCCACCACACCACACCATGTTTTGACTCTTTTGGCCTTCCTGCCCTCCATTTCGCCGCCATTATGATGTTATTTCAGCAACATTATAATTGATAGTGGCTCCAGATGATAAAATACTTGTTGTTGACGTGATGAAGAGTATTAGCAAGCACCAAAGGGCATGACACAGATACCAGTACCTTAGCGTGTCGGGCCAAGGTCTCTGCTCTCCCATCATCCCCCCTCCTACTTACCCCCCTCCTCCCCTTCCCCTAACCCCCCATCCTTCCCTTACCTCCCTCCCTCGCCTTGAGTGCGTTCGTATTTAACCTGAAGAACATGTTGTCTACCAAATGAATATTTTAATAGAGAATAAACATTATACAGAAAACATGTGATCTTCCATGACACATACATCAATAAATACATTTTGCGTGTTTGTGGTGGTGAGAACAGACTTGTGTTTATATGTTGAAATGCGACGCAGCAAAACAACTTTGGGCTTTTTTCACGGGGACACGTCACCAGGAGGATCCACGCCCATGTGATTATATTTGAACAGGTTCCAAGTGCCCCCCCCCACAACCCACGGCATACAATAAACTAACACTTACGGAGGAGCTATATTAACCTACATAATTCAATGGAAATATTATAACACAAACTTATACTTGCGGGGAAGTTATATTAACCTACTTATACATTAAAGCATTGGAAATATTTTAACACCATCGTGGAATCGAGTCCATTTTTAGCAGCTATACTGTAGTCGGCTATGTTTGGGTTAATATCAGACTAAAGGTGATTTGATGAGGTAGACAAAACTAAAAGCTAAATGTAATAGCGTAAAGGAATGTGTGATAAGGCAAATGATGTGATGATGGTAGAGAGAGAGAGAGAGAGAGAGAAGGAGAGAAAGAGAGAGACAAGAGAGATTAAGTAATAACCACAGAAGGGGAAGAAGTGTCAGCAAACAGAGGGTATAGAGAGAAAAATGATGATAGAGTTGGTAGAGAGAACGGAGATAAACGTGATAAAGAGAGAGAAGGAGACAGACAGATATAGAGACGAGGAGATAATGAAAAAAAATGAGATGAAAATAAAGATGGCATTAAGGAGATAGAAATAATAAAGAAGAAATAGGGAAATGAAAAAAAATATGAAGAAAATAGTAAAAATGAGGAGAAAGAGGAAGATTGAGTTAGAAACAGAGAAAATTGAGATAAAAAAGAAAAAGGGAGAAGATAAAGAAATAAAGAATTAGGAGATAAGAGAATGAGAACAATAAAGCAGAGAAATGAAAGAAGGGGATACGAAACTAAAAGAAAATCAGAAAACCGGAAAATAAACAGGAATAACTAAAATACAAAGATAAACGATGGGAATAATATGGATGAAGAGAGCGAGGATAACTGGGGGAGGAAAGGAGAGACGAGAGGGAGGGGTGAGAAAATGAGTTAGAGAATAATCTTGTATGTGAGGGACGGAGATAGAGAGAAAGAAAGAGAGGTGTGTGTGTCTGTGTGTGTCTGTGTGTGTGTGTGTGTGTTTGTGTGCTCGTGTGTGGACCTGTGGGTGGGGGGGAGGAGGGAGGGAGGGAAGGTGGGGAGGAGAGGGTATGAGGGGGGAGATTGAGCCGGCCTGAGGTTGTGTGGCGGGAGGGGGGTGGGAGAGGAGGTATTATGGAAGGGAGAAAGGAAATGGAGGGAGGGCAGAAGGACGGAGGAATAGAAAGGAGGGATAGGTAGAGAGGGAAGGAGGGATGAGGGGGGGGAGGGCGTGGAGGAAAGGAGGTTTTGGAGGGAGGAATGAAGAATGTGGAGGGAAGGAGGGTGTGGAGGGGGTTGTGGAGGGGGGGGAATGTTTGATTGCGAAAGACACCAGCAAGAGGTATATCGGCTGTTGTGATCGGCTGTTTTAATCAGCTGTTGTGATCGGCTGTTTTAATCAGCTGTTCTGATCAGCTGTTGTAATCGCTGCTGTGATCGGCTGCTGTGATCGGCTGTTGTGATCGGCTGTTATAATCGGCTGTTTGATCGGTTTTTGTGGTCGGTTGTTGTGATCAGCTGTTGTAATCGGCTGTTGTAATCGGCTGTTGTAATCGGCTGTTGTGATAGACAGAAATAAATAGACGGGAAGAAGAGCAGACTGAGTTGGCCGACTGTCTGAGAGAGAGGGGGGAGGGGGGAGGAGGGGAGGGAGGAGGGGGAGGAGGAGGGAGGGGGGCGGGAGGGAGGAGGAGGAGTCGAATTAAGGTGTAGGAGAGGGGGTGAGGGCGTGGAAGCAGAGGGAGAGGAGGAGGAAGAGTCGACTTCGTGTTGGTCGCTACCGTCACTACCACACTACACCATCACAACTACCACCATCACCTACTACAACTACCACCATTACCTTACCTACCATTCAACTACCACCATTACCTACCACAACTACCACCATCACCTGCCACAACTACCACCATCACCTGCCACAACTACCACCATTTTCCACCACCTACCACCATCCTACCACAACTACCATTTCAACTACCTTACCATCACCTACCACTCCACCATACCTCACTACCTACCACCAGTCATGTATAGGGAGAATTCGTCTTGTCAGGGGAAAATTCCGCCCTGTCGTCTCTCACATGAGCTGGTGGTATTTCGATCGGGGAGAGGGAGGAGAGAGCAGTAGTTGTTACCATGGTTACAGACTGAGTCATCGTGGTTACAGACACTGTTACTTTGGTTACGAGAGACTGTTACCAGAGTTACGAGACTCTGGCGGTTTATTTTACCATGGCATGAGACTTACCATGTACGAGACACTGTTACCATGGTTACGTGAGTTAAAATGGTTATGCGATGGTTACATGACACAGTTACCATGGTTACTGTCTTGGAGAGAGTGTAGGAACCCTCTCCCCGCACCCCTCTTTTTCCTCTCTCTCTCACCCCTCTCTCCCCCTCTTTCTTCCTCCTCCCTCTTCTCCTCCTCTTTTTATTCTTGAGCACCCACTTGTTGCTTCTTCCGTTTTATGCTCTCCTCCTCCTCTCATTAATTCTTCTTCGTATTATTATTAGTTGTATCATTATTGTTGTTGTCGTCCTCACAGTGTCTTTGTTTGAGGTGGGTGTTGGGGTCAGCCCTCCATTGTCTATGTTATGGTGATAGATCAGCTGACTCGATGACGTCACGAGTTTTGGTTAAATCAGCTGACTCGATGACGTCATAATTGTTTTGGTTAAATCAGCTGACTTAATGACGTCACGATTGTTTTGCTTAGATCAGCTGATGGTTGTCATTATTGTGGTGAGATCAGCTGACGGCGAGAGGGTCAATAACGTCTGGTTCCTTCACGTCTCTTGAAAGTGATGTGGCTAACACACACACACACACACACACACACACACACACACACACACACACACACACACCTGTAATAGGGTAACATATGGTAAAGTTAACACAGGTAATTACACTGGCCTTAGGTAGCTCGTCACAGGTGCCTGCCTCTCTGGTCTACGCCACCTTAGAGTGAGTTATACCTTGTTTTTGTTGTTATTTGTTTTGTTGTAGTTGTTTTGATGTTGTTCCTACTACTATTACTACCACTACTACCACCACTACTACTACCACTTCTACCACGATTAATGGAGATCCACAATGATTTCTATCTCACCCTTGAAGACCCGACAATAAATCAATAACAGTGCAATTAAACACACTACTACTACTACTACTACTACTACTACTACTACTACCACAACTACCATTAGAGGCCTACCATTAGTCCTACCTCGTCCTTGAAGACTCGAGAGAGAATCAATAGCCTCAAGTGCCACTCCAACACTCACACAGACTCCTAAGGCCTTGATTCAGCCTCGAGCAGCCCTGACCTACTCCTCCAGCAAGAAGAGGAGGAGGAGGAGGAGGTAGATGAATTAGAGGAAGGAGACGAAGAATGAATAAAGATGAATAAGAGAAAATTAAGATAAAGAGACAATAAAAGAGGAATTAGAAGAACTAGATAATGAAGAAGAACAAATAATTAAATAAATGAGAGGAAATGAAAGAATAGAAAATACACCAGAATAAATAGAGAAAATAAGAACAAAAATCAAATAAATAAGGAAATGAAGGAGAGAGGAATAAACATGGACATAATCATAAAGAAACAGATGGAGACAGACAGACAGATGAAGACAGACAGACAGACGGAAACAGACAGACAGACAGACAGATGAAGACAGACAGACAGACGGAAGACAGACAGACAGACAGACAGACACCTGAGAGAACCTTTAATTGGCTTAGTGAGAGGGTTAACTGGATTTAACTCCAGTCTTAAGCCAGGTAGAGACCGTGTTTGTGGTTTGGAGTCAGTTTAAAGGGAGGGAAGGAAGGAGGTAAGGGGAAGAGATGGAGGTAGAGGTAGAAAAGATAGAGGTAAGGGAGGGTAGGAGGTAAGGACGGAGGGAAGGAGTGAGGGAAGGAAGGAGGTAAGGAGAGGAAAGGTGTGTGGGATGCGGAGGGAAAGGTAGAGAGAGACTTAACTTTCGAATCTCTAAAGTTACTGATCCGTTGTTTTGCTGTGAGAGAGACAAAGAGAGAGACAGAGAGACAAAGAGAGATAGAGATAGACAAAGAGGGAGACAGAGAGACAGAGAGACGAAAAGGAGAGACAGAGAAAGAGATAAAGAGATAGAGAAGACAAAGAGAAGACAGAGAGACAGACAAAG